ACTGGAAATACAGCACTATTTTGATGGTGTATAATATTCAGTCAACACAGTAAGGTGCATACACTGCCAGATTTAGGAGAGCAAATATTACTAGATGTATTTCGATAGTTGCGAGATCAGACAAATATATCCCCGAATTGGCAAAACCACTGACCCTGTACACTGGTATACCAGTGCTCGTACAGTGGCCTGAAGTTCATACAGTATGTGGCATAAGTTTACAATGTTGTTAAGAAACAGTACGGGTGATCTGACGCCAATTAGATTTGATATCCACAATCATCACTAATATACCCAGTTTTTTAAACAGAACACTTACAGCCCTAAACCAAGTAAAAATTTGAGATAAGAAATACTAGTTTTGAAGACAAACTAAATTTTCATATCTCAGAAGCACCAATATCAAACAATACACTAGCACAGCAACCTGAAGTCAGTCAGAATTTAAATTATCAAGTTATCATCGTTGAAAAATATAGGCAAAGAGCTGAGGCAATAAGAAATTATTGAATAAAAACCAGCATTTAAATTTTTGCCAGTTTCATTTATATACGAAAAAACAAATAGGAACCAATACAGGTCACTATAAATCCACAAGGGTCTTTAAAGATTTTTTAAATAATAACTTTGTAGATTTAACGTTGGATAAACCAGTGAAGTCAAGATCAATGATTAATTATTTTCCAGAAACCAATTTTAAACTTACTCAACCTAACATCAAGACATCAACACTGATCGTTTAAATCTGACCGGAAGATACATTTTCCAGTTATTGTACAGAATCCAACAAAAATTGTGCCGGCACAACTCTAACTAACGAAACTTTTCATCCATTTCGTACATTGTATCTGCCATTGAAGAATGATGGTATTCACCATTGTTTTTTTAATCACATTAAAGCGCTAAACTAGTAGGGCTTGTTGCATCCCTTGAAAGGAACACCATGTATATAATGTATATTTGATGAATATTATCTTTCATATAATTTTATATTCCTGATATTTCCATTAATAGCTAAAATAAAACCATCTTGCTTTATTCTATTATTTGACTTAGCTATGTCATTAGGAAGGATGTAACATTTACACTTCACTGTGCTCACTGTTCGAGAGTTGTGGTTGGTTGTCCACATTGGTAAACCGCTAACTATCAGTTCGCTTGTTTACCTGCCGGCGTCTCTGCAGTACCACGGGCGAGTCACGTGATATCACCTGATGTGAGGATTGTAGTTGAGAAATCACTCTCTCTCCATAGCTGGTCATTGCTCGACAAGCACCACTCTCTTTCCATCTGCTCCTGGTTTGGTGGACATGGCTCTCTCCATGTGCTTTTGGTCTGGGGAACATGGCTCTCTCCATCTGCTCCTAGTCCTGGAATCATCCCTCTCATCTCTGTTTGTTTGTTATTTACACTCTATTTTGGTGAGTATGATTTCGTTGGTGAGTCGAAACATACATCACGTAGCTCTTTGTAATTCTGTTCACAGAGCATTGTTCAGACTTAGTGAACTTTGTCGTTTTCCTGAGGTTGTGTGTCGTATCGACACTTTAAGTCAACCCAGGTCCTAAGCTAGAGCTTCTGACCTATTTTGTGTGGCATCTAAGCACTGCCGTAGTCGGGGACTTGGTTATGCTGAACTTAGATTCAGTATTTTAAGGGAGTTTTATGACTTTCATGGAGGATCTGCTGATGATTCCCAGTAACGGTCGTTATTTTGTCTCCTTGTTCCTGACTCTGTGCTGCTGCTATATACATTATTATTGTTCGGCGAATTGTTCATCATATATGTGAAATATTAAAATTACCTGGATGAACCTCATAAGATATATACCAGTAATTGGTAACAAAGATAATTATTCCTTATCAAGGGTTACAGAGACATGTAGGAATTTTAGGACATCCTACGTCACAAAAAAATGTCCCCCTTCGATACCTACTACTCTCATATCTCCACAAGTCGAACTCTGGACCTATATTAATTTCAAATGAAATACACTTCACCAGGAATTATGGTAAAATTATTAATATAAATATATGGACTGTATGTTAAATTGAATTAATGATTACATATACACATTTATATATCAGAAGGAGAATTTATATTAATACCACTCACCAGTTTGTCTGGAGATTACTTGGTGTGTCGCACATAAACCCCTGCCTAAAATATGAAGAGAATACTGGCCAGAATTTCATCATAAATATAGACATTATTTATCTGAGGGAAGATGTAACTATTATCCCTTTTCACATATAATTTCGGAGTCCTGTCCAATCGCCTGCTTCTCACATTCTGCAGGACTGCAATTCCAACAATTTCTGCTCCTATTTGAGAGGTTTCAACTACAATTTAATCTCCAGAGCAACGAAATTTTTCCACATTTCACTAGCGTCTGTCTTGCCCCATTCCAAACAACAATGGCATCTCCCCCCCCCCAAGCGACGCTAACACTCGCTAACATTTTTTATTTACAAATTAATTTTTATTAACTACAATATATTTCACTAATTTACATACAAAATACACAGTATTTTCAGAAAATATACAGTATTTTCCACAATATTGTTCAAGCAAGCTGTTTTGGTTGCCTTGTTGGTCAAGTAATATAATAATAATAATAATAATAATAATAATAGTAATATTATTAATAATAATATGTTTATTTCAACAAGTACAAGGTAAACTGACCATAGCTGACTTCAATGACATACTGCTATATAAAAAGCCGCTTGTTATGCTGAGCATTTTGGTCAAATTAGGTCAGTTTTATCCCAGGATGCGACCCACACCAGTCCACTAACACCCAGGTACTCATTTTATACTGATGGGTGAACATGGACAACAACTGTCTTATGGAAACACGTCCTAATGTTCTCCAGCCGTAATGAGGATTCGATCTCCGGACCTCAATGTGTGAGCTGAGTGCACTAGCGATCAGGATACTTGTTATGGTTTAAGTCTAAGTCGAGTCTAGTCTTACTGAGACAAAACGAACAACTTTGAGCACACACACTCACACACGCTTATATATGCTAGTATTATTTCGATAGTTTATAAGAACGTACCAGACGGTACTTGCGAGTCATACTGATAATATATGTGCCCTCAGCACTATAATATATGTGCCCTCAGCACTATAATATATGTGCCCTCAGCACTATAATATATGTGCCCTCAGCACTATAATATATGTGCCCTCAGCACTATAATATGTGCTCTCAGCACTATAATATATGTGATCTCGGCACTATAATATATGTGCTCTCAGCACTATAATATATGTGCTCTCAGCACTATAATATATGTGCTCTCAGCACTATAATATATGTGCTCTCAGCACTATAATATATGTGCTCTCAGCACTATAATATATGTGCTCTCAGCACTATAATATATGTGCCCTCAGCACTATAATATATGTGCTCTCAGCACTATAATATATGTGCCCTCAGCACTATAATATATGTGCCCTCAGCACTATACTACTATATAAACTATTTAACTTTACACTACAAGAGAAGTGTAACTTATAGCCTGAATTATTTAAAACTACTTTGATTTTGTCCACCTAGACAACTTTGTTAATAAACATCTAAAATTTTTATTTCGTTAGTATCCTATCAGTTGCATTTCTAAAGTACTATTAAAATTTATGATATTTTTAAAGGCTAACTGGACCAGAATACTTTCTAACAAACTGATACAATACTATAAACATGCTAGATACTAGAGGGCGATCTCTAACTTGATCTTAGTATTTTCTGCAGATGTTTAAACTATATAGATATCGTAGTTTGTAACGGGTAAAATGGGAGGCAATCAAATTGGTTGATAGCAAGGAAAAATAAGTTCAGTTTCCTGGATCAAGAGCCCCCCTCACCAGCATCAAGGCAAAAATAAGACAATAATATAAAATAATACAGGCAAGAAGGGTGACGCCTTCTTGCCTGTGCTCCAGAATCTTCACCACCACGGTGATCCTCACACCAACTCCACGGTTGAGGGACGGATTACCTCATCTTTTGTATATAGTTCTATTGTCTTTAAATCATGTCCTAGAATTTGTATTGATAAAGCCACTGGATGGCGAAACGTCTACAATAAAGATACCCAGATGTTTCACATGTATCTTTATTTTTATCTTGTTGGTATTGTATACCATTCTTATACATAAAATATAATCTAGCATAAACAATAATAAATATTGAGTTACACTTCTTCTGAATAGTTAACCTGGGTTTTTTGCATTTAAACTGGTGCTTTCACTTGACTATTTATATTAAGTCTCGTAAAATGTACTTTATCTTTCAAATCTATGATCAAAATATTTCCAACAAATATGGCAAAGTAATAATGTTAAATTTCAAATCAAAATTTTAATCATTTTTATTAGCTAATAATATTTTCCAATATATATTTTTTTACAGAAGTTGACCACTAACTGACACTAAGCAACACGAGATGGCAGACCGCAAGCAACAGGAACTGGCAGCTACCACCACATGATGGAGCAGTGGGAATATACAATGGCATCTTCCACTCAATGGAGCAGCTGGAACACGGGCTTCTAGTCACCACAGAATGGAGCAGCAACAGCAGTAACTGGCGTCTACCATACGATGGAGCAGCAACAGTAGTAACTGGCGTCTACCATACGATGGAGCAGCAACAGCAGTAACTGGCGTCTACCATACGATGGAGCAGCAACAGTAGTAACTGGCGTCTACCATACGATGGAGCAGCAACAGTAGTAACTGACATCTATCATACGATGGAGCAGCAACAGTAGTAACTGACATCTATCATACGATGGAGCAGCAACAGTAGTAACTGACATCTATCATACGATGGAGCAGCAACAGTAGTAACTGGCGTCTACCATACGATGGAGCAGCAACAGTAGTAACTGACATCTATCATACGATGGAGCAGCAACAGTAGTAACTGATATATACCATACGATGGAGCAGCAACAGTAATAAGTGGCATCTACCATCGATGGAGCAGAAACAGTAATAACTGGCGTCTACCATACGATGGAGCAGCAGAAACATGATATATTAGCTACCAGACGGTGGAGCAGCAGACACATGACATATCAGCTACCAGACGGTGGAGCAGCAGACACATGACATATCAGCTACCAGACGGTGGGGCAGCAGACACATGACATATCAGCTACCAGACGGTGGGGCAGCAGACACATGACATATCAGCTACCAGACGGTGGGGCAGCAGACACATGACATATCAGCTACCAGACGGTGGGGCAGCAGACACATGACATATCAGCTACCAGACGGTGGGGCAGCAGACACATGACATATCAGCTACCAGACGGTGGGGCAGCAGAAGAAACGAACATCGTTCAGAGAGGTGTCGTCGACAGCGAGTCCCATATAAGGTTCAACTTTAGTCTGGATGCCACAGACTGCGGTATCATTGGGACAGGAAGCCCAGTCTCCCCACACCCCACGACTCTCCTCCTCCACTCATTACAACCTGAAACAGGGAAAGACGACATATAATTTAATGTTACGACTTCCGATACCAAGTGCCTTAAATATAGACCTAAAATGTTGCCTTTCTTAATATGAGCGGTGTGATAACTACAAAAAAAAAAATTTTGAATTCCATGTCCCGTCGCTGACAAAAAATATCGGGAAACGTGCGTTTGGCTTCATTTTTCAATTAGCTTTGAGTTTTATGATGCTTAAGTTAGCAAAACACATGTATAGTCTACCTGTCTTACATATCTACGATATTAAATAAACAATAGTGAAGCCTTGATTTGTATCATTTCTTAAATATATTGAATCAGTCAGAAATTAATTAAATAATGAACACTCGAAATTTGCCATACATTAAAACCTCTTAACTAGAAAGTTAATAAAATATTTCCTAAGTTTCCGGTCGAAGAAAAAAAAAACTTTCTTACAAGTAAGTTGCTCAACATGAATCTTAATATTCAAACACAAGTAAACAAATTTATTGAAATAGTGATTGTGAGTTGCACACAAATTCACAATAAGAGAAAATATACCTTTAAGATCAGGTATATATTTTTTGGTAACCTTAAGGACAGAGACGTTCGTTAAGTTCACTTCCGTTACCCAGTTAATGGTGGTGGAAGTTCATTATTTTTATATTATAATCAAGGGGGAAGCGCTAAACACGGAGGATTATACAGTGCCTGGGGGGGGATGTGGAAGGCATTCAGGCTTAATTCGGGGAACTAGAGCACAGATCCAATTCCCTAAATCAAGAGCCCCTCATCAACATCAAGGAACCTTCCTCGAGGGGGGTGGAAGTTCAGCGTCACATGTATTCCAGCGTTGATTCCGTCAGGTGCTCGATAGGTAACCAGGAAGTTCTTTTCTTTTACTTTCGTCTCTTACGTTCTTCTTGCACTTCTTGCTCAGGTTGTATCATATGCATCTGATGCTGTGTCAGCTTATTTTATTGTTTTGACAATCTGCTTATTTATAGGTATTTTCTTGCTCTGTGTATCGTGAATGACTTTTTTTTTATGGTCGTAGAGTTAAAGTTAAATTTTTTGTTCTTGTTTTTCATTGACTTAAGAAATGCAGATTTTATTTGTCTAGATCAAAATCTTTAGAAATTTGTCTCACTTCAGTTCTAAGTACAGTCTTTAAGTATGGTCTGCCTCGGAAATGAGTTACTGAGGTGAGAACTGTACTAACTGGATAAAGTTTTGATGAGAACTTTGCAGCCAGTATCTTCAGTGTGACCGCCTACCAGGCAGCCAGTATCTTCAGTGTGACCGCCTACCAGGCAGCCAGTATCTTCAGTGTGACCGCCTACCAGGCAGCCAGTATCTTCAGTGTGACCGCCTACCAGCGCTCTCGAGATTATCTTATGCTTCCTGAAGATACTGAAACTGATTTCTTTGCCACTTGCCTACGGTGATCTCTACTTATTTTCAAGGGAACCTTGAAGACACTGTAGTTCAGCTCATCTCACTGGATGTCTGCCTAGCCATCTCAGGAATATCCCTGAGGAATATTCCAGAGATGGATTAAAGACCTGTGAGGATCATTAGGACTCCGCTCTCATGTTCCTGTAGATGCGTCTACTTAGCTTCCATCTTCTGGTGTTTCTGTGCATGTAGTGTTCCTGTTACTCTTTATGTTATCTTCTTTTTGTTAAGTAAAATGACACAAACGCAAACTAATGTGACATTATATTGTGGCAACATTTCGCTCACCAGGAGCTTTATCAAGTCGTTATGGATCAACAAAACTCCTGGAGAGCGAAACGTTGCCACAATAAAATGCCACATTAGTTGCATTTGTGTCATTTTACTTAACATATAGTCGGTAATTCTACCAATATTAACACTATCTTCTTTTTATTTGGTTCGCTGGTGTTAAGTTTTTTAAACTTTAACGTGGAAAAAATCTGTGATATTCATTTGTTCATTAAATATCTGACTATTAATTTTTCTTCGGTTTAAAAGAGCAATGAACAACTTTAGACAGATGTTTATCACATTGAACAACTTTAGACAGATGTTTATCACATTGGACAACTTTAGACAGATGTTTATCACATTGAACAACTTTAGACAGATGTTTATCACATTGGACAACTTTAGACAGATTTTTATCACATTGGACAACTTTAGACAGATGTTTATCACATTGAACAACTTTAGACAGATGTTTATCACATTGAACATTGAAAATTGTTATGTTGGAAAATTATTATAACTGGAAAAAAATAGTCGTCATCCTTACATGTATTTGGTACATTATACATGTACTGCAGAGACACTCTCATAGTTCACGATCTTGAAACACTTTCTGAAACGTTTATTAAACCTTCTAGTCCAATATTCAATTATTATTTAATGTCTATTCCTCTCTGTACAATTAAGTAGTTTTTCAGATCTTCAGGTTTAAGTTTACAAAATCCTCTAGCATTTCTAAATAATAATTATGTAAAGTGAGATAATTTTGGGATTATTCTATATCTTGATGCAACTTTCTGTTAGATAATCAGCCTTAATCCTGTAGATTCCTTAGACTTTAGAAAAAGACGGAAATAATTAAAAAAAAAAGTGAGCTCTGTAGACAAACATAAATATTTGGTCAATAAAAATGAATCTCAAAGTGGCAGGTTATAATTTTTTAGATAACTTATATTAGTTTCTCGACTCTGAAATGGCAGTTCCTCTCAGTATCATCTGTTATTTTTACTAATTTCATAAATAAAATACTATCTTGAATGTGCTTCTAAAGTGAAGAAACCTATATTTTGCCTTTATTCATTTTCTTAAACTAATTTTCAGACTATTAATAATAATTAAGATAATATTTCAACTGTTGACACTAGTTCCCGCTTCTTTTCAGATCTCTCCAGTTTGTTTTTAAACTGGCCAGTCTCACTTGTACAAACTTAACTCATAAGAAGTGTTCACCTTGCTGACGATAATGTCTTTTCCTGTCACAGTAGATACTAAAGCTACCCTATAAACGGGTCCTTTTCTATTAATATTAATCTCTACTCAATCTTTCACAAACGTCATTTTGCCGTATTAGTCTCAATGCACAATATTTCTTAAATGAATCTTTATCCCTTTTGTGTTTGTGAAGATGCTTATATTTCCCAGAACATTGTTATTTGTTGTAATCAGATTTACCCTTCCCTAAGATGTCTCCTCACCTCCCTTGCTTGAACTGACTTCAGAAATTTAAAGCTCTCCTTTCTTACAACGTGATGCTGGTCTGAAAGTGATATATATATGCTGTTAAGTTTTATCTCCAACCTGGGTGGTAGTTGTGGGTACCTCTGGATTGTTGGTGCAAGTGAATCTGATGTCATTAACGGCAGTGTCGTCAAAGGCGTCCTCTGTTTCCACTCTCAGCTGAAACTTGTGGATGTACTCTGGTACTGGACACGACACTGGATCTGTCAGTGAGTGATATAGCGGGTCAGATGTTTCCTCTGCAGAATCTTAAGTTAACTGCAAGTGTGTTTCAATCATGTGTAACCTGAAGATTTCAACACTCACACACACTCACATATACTCGCACACACACACACACACACACACACACACACACACACACACACACACACACACACACACACACACACACACACACAGGATGTTCCAGGGAGGGGACACAGAAACAAGAGGCCACAATTGGAAGTTGAAGACACAAATGAGTCAGAGAGATAGTAGGAAGTATTTCTTCAGTCATAGAGTTGTAAGGCAGTGGAATAGCCTAGAAAATGACGTAGTGGAGGCAGGAACCATACACAGTTTTAAGACGAGGTTTGATAAAGCTCATGGAGCGGGGAGAGAGAGGGCCTAGTAGCAACCGGTGAAGAGGCGGGGCCAGGAGCTAGGACTCGACCCCTGCAACCACAAATAGGTGAGTACAAATAGGTGAGTACACACACACAGTAGGGACACAGCGTGCGTGAGTCACGCCTCCCTTGCTCCGCTAATGTGTTTTTGAGTCACCCAAGTGTTCTGCAAGGGTTGTTAGGTGTGTTAGGGTAGTGAACAATTCCTTGAAGCGATTTACAATCTGCCTGAGCCACATAAGTGTGGGGAGAGCCACAATTTTGTAAGTGATCTAGAAAGTAAAACGTGGTAGCCCAGTCAGAGGGGCAGGCTAGTGTGAGTGAGGCGACGTTGCAACGTGCCACCCAAGAAAGTTAACAAAGTGAAACAATCGTGTGACCAGTGAAAGAAATACAGTGAATAGGGCACATTATATAATGAAAAGAAATTGAGAGGATCTACGCCAGGACGTCACATCGAGCTGGACAATCTACAGGCTGCTACAGCTGCATTGCAAGTACTGTATTCACCTATGAGTGGTTGTATGGGTGTGGGGTTTCAGGTTCCAATTAACCTCCAAGCTGATTGTGAATGGTCCAACTCTCCTAGCACGATAAAGAATAAGGAACAGCAATTGGTAATCTATGGAACAAGGCAAGTTACTATAAGCCTAGGTGGTAGGACAAGCATAATGGGCAACATTGTAAGTAGGTGTGGGTCAAGTTCCAGGAGGGTGGGGGTCAGGTCACAAGAGGTTGTGGTCAGGCAAGGAACCACTGACACTCCACATAACACTCCAACGTACAATTCCACCTACTTTTTAGACAATAAACCCACACATAATTCCACACATAACTAAACACACGCACAACACACACACACACACACACACACACACACACACACACACAAACACACACAGGCATAGACGAGACAGGAGAAAGGGACTACTATATACACTTGGGCCTGGGGAGCACAAGGTGGTCATTGCAGTGATGTATAATCCACCACAGAACTGCAGGAGGCCAAGAGAAGAATATGAAGAGAGCACCAGAGCAATGATGGACACACCTGCTGAGGTGGCAAGAAGAGCTCACCCCAGCAGAGCAAAGTTGCTGGTTATGGGGGATTTCAACCACAGGAAGATTGACTGGGAAAACCTGGAGCCACATGGGGGTCCCGAAACATGGAGAACCAAGATGTTGGATGTGGTGCTGGAAAACCTCATTCACCAACATGTTAAGGACACTGCCAGAGTGAGAGGGAGGAGGGTGAACCAGCAAGATTGGACCTTGTGTTCACCCTGGGCAGTACAGACATTGGGGCCCTCACATATGAGAGTCCCTAGGAGCTAGCGACCACGTGGTTCTGTGCTTTGAAAAAAAAGTAGATTACAAGTGGAGAGAGTAAAGGAGTGAA